TTTTTTTTTGGGGAATGAATTTGTTGTTGGTAAACTGGGGGGGGGGGGGGGGGGTTGGGTGGTCTCCCCTCAGGGCTTTCCCCGCAGCCTCCAGAAACTTTTATTTTGTGGTTGGGCCACGTTAAACTGGACCACGTGTAAGAGCATGCCGAGCAGTTGGGGTTTTTGGGTCCAATCTAAAAAATGGGACAAGAATTGAAAATCAACACCCCAGCAGCGGTGGATCATGATTCAATGATTGTATTTTGGATTGGACTTGCCAAAAAGTGGGTCCAAAAAAGGCAAATTTGGATCCCCAGAGAACCGGATCCAATCCAAAATCCAACCTTGAAATCCGGATTGAATCCAGATCGGCCAACTCCCGCCAATTTAAAATACACCGAAACACCTGAATCCACGTTGCAGTTCGCGGTACAATAAATTTTCCTGCTTCGTCAAACAATCTCAACGAACACCAGGCCTCATCACCGATCAACTCATTAGCTCGAATCCCTTTGCCGAATCAATAGGAGCTGGAAAAGAATGGAGCCAACAGGAACACATAGTAGCGTGTCAGGCGTTCGTTGTGGCGTCTGAAAACAGCTTTAAAGAGAATGGAGAGAAAAAGGGAACGTTTGAGGAGTCGATTGAGGAGGAGTTCAGACGTATTCTCACTGAGTTTCACGCGAAAGATCCGGGTTCTGCTCCAGAAGCCACTCAAACTGGCCTTTCAATCTCATAGCAATTCAAAAGCATTCGATATGCGTGTTTAACGTTTTATGGCATTGTACGGAGAGTTTGGGATTTAAAACCAACTGGATCACCTTCTGAAGACGACGTTTTAAATGCTTCCACCGCTGTATATAATGATCGTGCTAATGGGTCTGATATGTACAGCTACTTCGGCAGTAGTACTGTAGGATAACTTCTCTCTGCCCTGGGTTGGGTGAGAGGCGGAGGCTTTAGCGAGGGAGCACGCGGCGTGGACGCGACGCGCCAATTGAACCGATCGGACGAGCTCGCGAAAAGGGAGTGGCTCACTGGCCGGTTACGCGCAGTCGCCCCGTGGTGCGTGAACGGGAGCGACCGGTAACGGGTTAGAAGCCAGCGCGAGCGACAGACAACCGAAATGGACTTATATAGGCGCGAAAGGGACGGGGGCGAGCTTGCCCCAGTTTACTGGTGGGGACGGGTGTCAGGTCTTAACCCCTCAGAGGGACGCCTCGGACACCTGTCCCAGTGTACAGTACCTGCCGCCTAGTGCGTACCAGGTACTGTACGCAATTAAAAAACTAGCGCCTCAATTCTTAATTCCCGCGCGGACGCTGCAGGTACACGTGTGTACTACTGTACACACGCGCTGCTTACAGACTACCGCACGGATGCCACGTGTGCTAGCGTACACGCGTAATACTAGCAAACTACCGCTTGGCCGACACGTGCACTACTGTACACGTACGCCAGATTACGACCACTCGGCACGAGCGCGTTCCCTACACGTGGGCACACCCGCCCACGTGTACACCGGGCACGGCCGCACGGATAATAATCTCCCCGCGCGCGCGTCCGTCGTTATACTACAGACCCCTTCCTTAGCTTTCGCTACGTCCTCGTAGCGACCACCCATCCGACCACGGAGTTCCGTTCCGGTTTGTCTTCTCCCCTGCGCGCGCGAATGACCATGCCTCCTAGCTGTTCTTTAAGCGGGCGCTCTGTAAGCCCGTTGTCTCGTCCGATTCGGTAAGCGTGTCCTTCACTTCCCTTCACGCGAAGCCCGCCGAACCCTCAACTCACTCTCCTCACTCTCCTCACTCTCCTCACTCTCCTGGGCGCGCTGCCTCCTCCTCCCGCGACGGCATCCCCCTACAGTAGCTCCTGCCGCATCCGAGAATGGTCGACCGCGAGAGTCCTGCTGCAGCGCCTTCGTACAGTGCGCCGTCGAGCCCTGCCGGGGCTCCGGCGTCGGCGCAAGCGCCTCCCGCGTCCCAACTACAACGTCGCGTCTGCGGAGAGCCGCGATCGGCCCCCGAGTTGGCCGGGCCCGCGCTCGCGTCGGTCGATTCGTCTGATTCGGTCGAGCGACGGCCGCATGGCGCGCACGCAACGCAGCGCTCGCCGCGGCCCTCTGGAGGGCCGGGCGAGGGTCGAAGGACGGCTGTGCCCTGCCCCCCGCACACGGGCGAGACACGAGCTCCGTGTGGACGGTCGGGGTAATTTCCCTTTGTCAACCACCCTCCCGGAGGGCTGGCCAATTTGTAAAGAATCTGCGTTCATTTGCCATCCCAAGAGCGGCGCGAGCGGCGCACCCGCCGTAGTACGGCACCACACGGTAGTTTCAAGCGTCTCTCTTGCGGTAGCGGCCTCTATTGCGCCAACACCGATCCAAAAACCGTACGGAGCGCCCTCTTTCCACCAGCCCGAATTACAAACGATAAGAAACGATAAGAAACGGTAAGAAACCGGAAGAAACCGATTTGGTTTCCAAATATGTCCGAATGCGGTTTTCCCGAGGCGACACTATCGGACGCGGAATGCTCCCAGGAGTACGATGCCGTTGTCAGAAACGGCCTATGATTTTTTTCCCGCAGCGTGGGAGGGAAAAACGTAGCCCAAATCGCGACTAAATTAAAAAGCCAGCGAACGCGATACATCTCAATACAAAGTACCGGTTCCCGGTACGGTTCTCCCTTTCCATAGGCGCGTGCGAGCGCGATCATCCGAACGGTGCGGCCAGGCGTGGCTGATAGCTATCCGCGTGGACGCTTGGGAGAACTTCGGATTGTGGACCACCCTCCCGGAGGGTTGGCCAATTTTGGAAGCATCTACATCCATTTGCGCGGTATCCATCCGGTACGAGCTGCCTCGCGGTGCGCAGTCACACGCGGCTGGCTGCCGGGGCTGCATAGCACGTGCGCGGCTTGTTTTCCCCAGGGGCTTTGCGCGAGCGAGCGTCCGAGCGGTGCGACCGAGGGCGGCCGAAACTTGCGCTACGCATGCACGCTTGATCCTTGTTGGCGCGAGCGCCAATACCGGTCGATAAACGGCTGCGGAAGCCCATCGGCGGGCTCGTAGGTGTCGTCCGAAGCGGTATATCCATACCACCGGACCTTGTAGTCGATCCCGACGCGCGTAGTACGGTGT